GGGGAATTATCCACAGCTTCTCTGGGCAACCTGCTCCAGTGTCTCACCACCCTCACAGTGAGGAACTTTTTCTTAATGCCTAGTTTAAGTCTGCCCAAACTTTCTCAGTCTGTCTTTGTAGGAGAGGTGCTCCAGCAGATCAATGGCCTTCTTAGTCTGGGGGCTCCAGAGCTGAGGAGAGGGGGAGAATCACCTCCCTCGATCTAGTGGCCACGCTTCTTTTGATGCAACCCGGCATGCGACTGGCTTTTTGCGCTGAGAGTGCACGCTGCTCTCTAATGTTGAGTCATCAACCAGCACCCCTAAGTCTTTCCTGCAGGGCTGCTCTCAGCCTAATAAATAATATTTATTAGTTGTTTTCAAAAATTGAAGTAAATGTAATTATATGTATCCTTTGCTTTCCATCCCTATTATTCTTTAGCTCATTTTTTCTCTGAGGAGGTACAAAATACTGTAAATTGCTGCTCACTGTAAAACTGTTTGTTTAAAAATCTTGGCCTCATGGCACGACATTATGGAGCTCTTTTGCTGGATGATTTAGAAATTAGTATGATAGATAAAGATATTGATGTGCTTACAGTTTTAAAAAGAGAAATAATAATACTTACAAATGTCTTTGGATTTTCGAGAGGTTAAGTCCAAAGATCTTAGAATGTATTAACCAGATTCTTGGAAGCCTTTGGAAAGATCTGATGGGACTAAAATTTTTCAGAATACCAGATCTCCTATACATGTTAACAAAACCAAGCTAGTTCAGGTGAAAAGGAACAGGTTGTTCTCTGAATGTGCTCTAAATTACAGCTTCAAATAATGTGTTAATCATCACAGCTTTTTTACTAGATATGCAGTAGTAGCCACTGCTGCTTAGATTTCAGAAAACTGGAACACTTAACAAGAAAGGAAGAACATTTATATAACAAACATGTTAAGAGAAATCCAACCCACTATAAATCATGATTTCTTAAAAAATTGTAGGTCGTGAAATTTTATTATGAATACAGAGGATTTTAAAACCATTTCTAAGGAGGAAGCACTCTGACGTCAATACAACAGGACAGCTTTTGTTGTGAGCCCTAAAAACAGTTGCAGAGAAAACGTACGAGTGATTTTCATAATGTTTAGGATCTGTCACTATATTTCATATCTCAGAATTACAGAGATATGACTGTATTTAGACGTTTCTAAGGTATTTAACTCCGTACAGTGTCGCATTTTACCAAACTAGTCCATTGCAACAAGAAAAAGAGCATTTCTTCAGTGCCTGCAGCCCACAGGCTTGGCTCTGGAAGTCTGCAGAGGTTGCCACTGCACCTGAAACTGATTGGTTTCCCTGTTGATGATCTAGAATTAGCTATAAAATTGTGATAAAAGGTTAGTGATGGAAATCAGTTGTATGGCAGGAACAATAAGAAAATTGCAGAAAGTGAAATACCAAGTTATAGTCTTTATTTTCTTAAGTGATATGCTTTCAGAGATCATCTGGGCTTTTTGATCAGTCTTTTCTTTATGTTTGGAGTTTGGACATTTGTAAAGTACTCAGTCTTGCCTAGTTAATTTATGCAGTCCGTTTAGGGTTTTCTAAGCTTTCTGTTCCCATGCAGTAAACATTTGAAGTTACTATGAAGAGAAAAAGGGAAATTGTGTTTTATGGTTTATAAAGGGCTAGGAGCAAATGGAGTATGTTCTAGAGGCTATTCTGAACTAAACATCTCTTTCGTAGTTGTAAGCAATTCAGGAAACTAGGGTTGAATCCAGGTAGTTACTTTAAATTGAAATTTTATGTTCATAATCTATTCATGCAAAGCAGACTGTACCAACAGAACTTGGAAGCTTTGCTCGAAAGTAGTAATGAAGGGGGTTTAGAGGAAATTGTAAATAGGCCATAATACACCTTTTGACTTAAGTATGTGAGAACTACAGTGGAACTTTGTCATTCCCTCTCAGTATTGTTCAGGTTCAGTAAATAAAATAATAAAGGGGATAGGAGAAGGACTGAGCAAAAGCATTGATGGTTATGTCTTAGTTCTTCATATGGGATAATGTGGGCCCTCTCCAGAAGGCAGACCTGGTTAGCCAGAACATGGAAAAGGCTGAGGTACTCAGCGATGACTTTGCCTGAATCTTCACTGGCAAGTGCTCCAGCCACATTGCCTAAGTCACAGAAGACAAAGGTAGGGACTGGGAGAGTGAAGGACCACCCACTGTAGGGGAAGATCAGGTCTGAGACTGTAAGGAACCTGAAAGTACGCAGTTCATTGGGTCCTGATGGGATGCGTCAGAGGGAACTGGTGGATGAAGTTGCTAAGCCACTCTTCATCATGTCTGAGAAGCTGCGGCAGTCAGGGGAAGGTCCTGCTGCCTTGAAAAGGGGAAACATAACCTTCTTAAAAAAGGGGAAACATAACCTTCTTAAAAAGGAAAACATAACCTTAAAAAAGGAAAAAGGGAAGACTGGGGAACTGGGTGAGTCGGACTCACCTCAGTGCCTGGCAAGATCATGGAGTGGATCTTCCTGAAAACTCTGCTCGGACACAAGGAAGAGAAGGAGGTGATTGATGATAGTCAGCATGGCTTCACTAAAGGCAAATCATGCCTGATAGATTTGGTGGCCTTATGTGGTGGGACTGCAGCATTGGTGGATAAGAGAAGAGCAACTAACTGATGTCATCTCCCTGGGCTTGTGCAAAGTGTTTGACACTGTCCCAGTGATATCCTTGTCTCTGAATTGGAGGGATATGGTTTTGATGGATGAACCACTCAGTGGCTAAGGAATAAGCTGGATGGTCACCCTCAAAGACTTGTAGTCAATGGCTTGATGTCCAGTGGAGACCAGTGATGGGTGGCATTCCTCAAGGGTTGGTTGCCGGGACTGGTGCTGTTTAACATCTTTGTCGGTGACACGGACAGTGGGATTGAGTGCATCCTCGGCAAGTCTGCTGAAGACACCAAGCTGTGTAATGCAGTTGACACTCTGGAGGGAAGGGATATCATCCAGAGGCATCTTGACAGAGAGATGGGCCTGTGCAAAGCTCATGATGTTTAACAAGGCCAAATGTTAGGTCTTGCACCCAGGGCGGGACAGTCCCAAGCATGAGTACAGGCTGGGCAATGAGTGGATTGAGAGCAGTGTTACAGAGAAGAACTTGGGGGTGCTGGTGGATGAAAAATTATGAGCCAGGAATGTGCTCTGAACACCAATTGCATCCGGGGCTGCATCACAAGAAGCATGGCAGCAGGTCAAAGGAGGTGATTCTGCTTCTGTGCTCTCATGAGACCCCACCTGCAGTGCTGTCTACAGCTCTGGAGCCCCCAGACCTTTTGGAACGGGTCCAGAGGAGGCCACGGAGATGATCAGAGGGTTGGAGCCCCTTCACTAGGAGGACAGGCTGAGAGAGTTGGGGTTGTTCAACCTGGAGAAGGCTTCAGAAAGACCTTATAGTGGTCTTCCAGTACCTGAAGGACACCTGCAGGAAAGAAGGGGAGGGACTCTTCAGCAGGGAGTGTAGTGACAGGACAAACAATAGTGGTTTTAAACTGGAAAAGAGCAGATGTATGTTATATAGTAGGAAGAAATTCTTTTCTGTGAGGGTGATGAGGCACTGGAACAGGTTGCCTAGAGAAAGCTGTGGATGTCTCCTCCCTGGAAGTGTTCAAGGCCAAGCTGGATGGGGCTTTGAGCAACTTGATCTAGTGGGAGGTGTCCCTGGCCAGGGCAGGGGGTTTGGAACTAGATGATCTTTAAAGTCCCTTCCAACCCAAACCGCTCTATGAAATCAGGCTCTGAAACATAATGGGCTGGAGAGACTGCTCTATTACTGTTGCATCTTATTTCACTTTTAGCTTATACACTCAGGATGAATATTCAAATGTCATCTTTAAACGTATGTGAAGAGTCGTGTACAGTACAACTGATGTACAGGGGATAAGTTTTTCATGTGAGTGTTCTCAGTTGGTTTTAAATTTTTATAAATCAAGTGCAACAGTGAAAGGAAGACACACTGGGATATCAAGCATATCTTCTTATGTTTGTTAATTCAAACCACATGTCATGCATTTCAAGTGTTTGAAAACAGTTGGATTAAGATAGTTGCTGTTGTTGCAACCCTCTCTTGTTCTGTGGCTTTTTTTAATGTTGGATTTTGGCAACTTGTGTTGTCTGGGTTGACTGCTGGAAAAAAAAGAATTTCTCATTTGTTTTCGCTCCAAACTGAAATACTTTGTGCACAGTGGAGTGTTTGTTCTTTTGGTCATCCTGCATGCACAACTTTGGTATATATTTTGATGTTTCTGTGCAGCACTGAGAGCAACAACATACAGATTTGGTTTAAATAGCAGTTCTCTATGGTAGTTCCTAGTCAGTGTCAGGGAAAAATCCAGTTCACTGAAGGAAGGGCTTATGTAATTGAAGTAACTTTTCCTAGAGATGAAATTTCAGGAGTGCATAGAATGCAGCGCGATAGAAATTTGTTGGTACTGTCCTTTTTTTAAAGTGTTAACTGACACTACTCTTTTCTTATTCTTTGCAGTGTGGTGATATAAATATTTGGTAAGCAATTGGATTTGATTTATTTTAATGCTATTGAAACGTGGAAGAAATTAACCTTATTTGTTAAGGTAATATGTTAGGCTTGATGTCTCGGTATTTATTTTGTTGAAATTGCAGACATTTATTGTTATATATGATGTCTGGTTAGTGTCGTATTCTGATAACAGCCGGAGAAAACTGTAAAAATATTTCAATAGAGATGTGTGTAATTGATATCCCTGACACTGCTTTTGGTCATAATCTCAGAGATTAGTCTGAGTTCTAGCATATCAGTATCAAAATGTGTATGCCCTTAGTTGCTGTAACAGCATAGTAGATACACATCTATATGAATAACTGTTCCTGTGGGTCGTGTGAGACCAGAGGTCTTCATAGCTTTCAAGCCTTCTAGTGGCTAAATTCGTGTTATATGAAAAACTACTTCCTTGCCACTCTTCTCTTGCCTTTTTGTAAGATGTGGCCAGAGGTATGAAAAAGGATATATTACTTATGAAGCTGTATTTTAATAAAGCTAGTCCTTTGCTCCAATTTTTATTCAATATTTGGTCTGTCTGGCTCTCTTGCCTGTTGAATAGGAGTGGTGCAAGTTCGTGGGATTGAGTGCTGGGCTTTGTAGAAGCGCAGCGTGCCTTTGCCTTCCCGCGAGGTGCAGTGACTTGCTCTGTAAGCGGCAGATGATCCGCGATCGGTGTAGTTCGTGTGCATGCTGCCTGGTCTCCACTTGAGAAACCTTAGACTGTAGCTTAGCATTGTGTAGTATATTGCTTTGTAAATTACAGCTGTTTGCAATAGAATTAACTTTTAACAGATATTTACAATAGAATTAACTTCTTAAGCACTTTTTGTATTACAGTTGTAACGATAAAGTACTGTTTGCATTACTGAACAATCAAAATTTGAAATATGCTGATGAATTCCCCGACTTTCTGTAATCCTTCTTATGAAGACCACTTTTCTTAACAGAATTAAATTAGAAGTGCAGAGGAGAAATTCTGTGCTTTATAGCTTCAGCCTTATCTTTTGCCTTTCCCCTATTCCCAATGTATAATATATAGAGCTCATTAAATCTTAGAGCAAGCTCACATTTTTTTTTCCCCCAAAGTTTGGAAATAGGACTTAGTTTACTTAAAATAATAGTAGAGGAAGGGAATATAAATAATGCTGTTAAGCTTATCTTCTATGTATGCTGAAATATTGCCTTTTACCTAGTTTCTTAGCTCTTAATAGCATTGCTTTTGTTGCTGCACAAATGATGACGTTGCAATATGAGATAGAGGAAGATACAAAATTTTGACTAATTGTCTTTATTTGCCAGTGTGATCTTTTCTTGGATATGATACTTCAGTGTACATTTTTGTAGTATATCGGTGTGACTTGTTGCATTTGAAACCCGTTAAGTCTGAAGGAAATGCATGAGGAAATGACACTTTCCATTCTCCAACAAGTACATACAAAATCCTTGGGAGGACAGTTTCCTGTCTATTTCAAGGTAATATTGATTGACTGCAGTGGAGAGGGTAGTATGGAAGAAATGCTTGGTTTTGGATATGACACTAAAAGCTGAGTTTTAAGGCGCTTTTTTTGCCTTTTTTTTTTTTTTTAGACAAATGTAGGAACAGAGGATACCTCAGTTGGAAGTGATGAGAAGTAGCCAAATTTGAATTTGATTGAAATGATACACAAGTGACTATCATAAAATGAGGAAGAATTGGTGTGACTTTTATGAAAGAAATTAATATGTCACATATGTATGAGAGGAATTAGCAAGCACGTGGAATTAGCAAGCATGTAGATAGGGAAAAAACAGGTGATATTACTTGGATTTCCAAAAAGAAATTGAGAATATCCATTCCCAAAAGTTTGGAAAGGAGTCGAATTGCCATAGAGAGTACAACCTTAAATTGCTAGATGACTGCTAAAAAGTGGATGAGGGAAGAGTTCATGTGTAGTAATAAACTGTCTTTTTTCATGATGGAATCTTACGTGGGTTCACGCTGGGAATCCTTGCACTTCAGTGTATTCATAAATGCTGTGGAAAGGGGGTAAATGAGTAAAAAAAATTGTTGACAGTATTGGGTTATTCAGGATGTTGAATACTGAAGGGCTAACTGTGAAGATTGGAGAAGGGCAGGGTGTTCCTGTACTGGTTGTTTGAGATTTCATCAAATTAAAGAGGTTGTAGAGAGGTGAGGATCTGACTGTTCAACCAAGTAACAAGTGCTAGGACAAGAGGAAATGGCCTCAGGGTGCGTCAAGGGAAGTTTTAATTGCAGATTAGGAAGAATTTCTTGACTGAAAGGATTACCAGCCATCAGAATGGGCTGCCCAGGGCAGTGATGGAGTCAGCATCTCCAGAGGTGTTTAAACGACTTGTACACCTAGTGCTTAGGGATATGATTTAGTCAAGAACTTGTCAGTCTTAGGTTAATGGTTGGATTTAATGATCTTGAAGTTCTTTTCCACTCTAGATGGTTCTTTGATTCTGTGAAGCATGGTAATGCAGGCTGGGGAGATAGTAGGAAAAAGGCAACCATTGTTTTATGTATACAGGAATGGGTACTGAGATTACTTCATTTGGTAATTAACAAGATCTTGCCGCTGAAATGCAAATGCCCGTGAAAGTTCAGTAGTAGTCAAAATAGTAATCACAATCCTGAAAATTAGGAAAGAAATAGAGACTCGGTATACTGCCATTTTTTCTTATGCCACATTCAGACCAGCTTGTACTTCACAGGACTATGTTTGCAGAACTGCCTGAACGGAGATGGGCAGAAAGGACAGTCAAAGGAATGGAACAGGTCTTTAGAAGAACTTACTTAGTGCTTACACGCTTTTCAGGCTAGAACAAGGATGACTGGAAGACAGTGAGATTGGGGTCTCTAGTACTGGCGGTACAGAGGAGGTAAATCACGGGTTTCTCCAATGCAGAAGCTAAGTAAACCCAGTGTTACTGATGACCACAGATTCAAATCAAGAAAAAAGAGTTTCTTTCCACAGGTTTTAATTAAACTGCGTGCCTTTGTCAAAAGGTGCTGGGCACGCTAAAGGTTTCTGTGTATTAAAAACCAAATTAAATTGAATTTAGAGAGTTCAAGGAGTGTAACCCCCACGGTGAATTGTCTAGTTGTTACAAACCCTGCTAAACAAACATGGGGAGGGATTACTGGTAGTTTTGAAGATGTGATGGAGGTTTGAGCTTCTGTGTGTCTATTAGATTTCTGTATAGTTATGTTAGGAGAAGTACTTACAAAATGGCAAATTTGTTTTTACGACTCAGTAACAAAACAGATTTAGATATAGTCTTACAAAATTGGAACAAAAATCCACCCTTAAAACTACTTATTACTATGACCATCTTGAAGACTTTGAGTGCAGTTTGACTAATAAGCTTTTACATATTTACATGGCCATTCGGCTGGCATCTCATTCTTACCGTGCAAGATCATTGCCCTGGGAATTGCGTTCATTGGGACAGATGAGGATTTAGTGGTAAGTGTATCTTTGTGAACTCATTTTGTTGCTGAAGAGCCATTCAGATTCAAGCCTTCCCTTTAGGTATTGCTTGTAGTTTATATTCAGTGTTTAATGGAACATGCATGCTTCAGTCAAAGGCTTATTGATTGTTCCCTACCTAACTTTCAAAATGGTGATGTGTACGGCATGGCTGGATGGAATCATCATAGAACAAAGCAGTAAAACAACTTCTCCACACATGTATTCACTGGCAATTGATCATGTGTTTTCTTTAGCTATAAATGGGTTGGGAAGATTAATGTTCATTTGTATTTTGTAGGTTTTAGTATTGTTTGCAGTGTGTTTGGAGATGAGCTTGTTTAGTCATCTAGAATACGTGAGGTAGGCAGTTCATAGTCTTGTGCACAGCTTTTTAGAATAAACTGGTAGAACATTAAATTTTCATTGACTTCCGTATACTACTAAGTGCACTGACTTGAAAATTCACTGGTACTTTTTACAGTAACTTGAATGTATTCTCTTTACCTTTGATATACTTTTCCTCAGAGAGGAAAATAAAATTATTCCCAAGAGGTCATGTGGGAAGCCTGTATTTAATGTTTTTTTCGAATGTGATTATTGAGCACTTGTCCCTCCCCCTCAAGTGAGGTGACAGTTTGAAAATGATTTTTCGTAATCACTACAGTCGAACTCTTCATGACTTGTCTCTGATTCTGTTAGACTTCCCCCCCCCCCCCCCAATTCTATAGAACTTTGCTCTTTGATCTCTCTTAACATTTGTGTTGTTTGGAAGTTATTAATTTTGTTTTGTTTAGCATCAGGCATGCAGCTTCTTTCTGTCACTCAGTTAATTTTGTGTGTGATAATGCCATCTACCTTTAGAGAGGGAGCATCTCACTGTTAGTTTTCTGAGTGATAGGCCATAGTTCGAGAATGGACAGTACAAAGCAAAGCTTTGTGTAATTTTGTAGTGGATTTTTATAGGTTTTTTTTTTTAATCAAGATTTAACCTTTCAATTTATTCAAGTCAATTGGTTTTACCTAAGCAGCATTCCCCCAGATGTTGTTTATGTTGTGACTTTGCTCAGGAGAGCCTTTGTGTCAGAATGACCCTTGGGTGAATACACAGCTCTACGCAGCGGTGCTCTTTTCCAGGCAAATATCAGGAGACCGTTTCTCGCTCTTAGACATTGGGATAGCTGGGAGATGAGTATTGATTGTGTTTAGTTTAGCATATTCTTTTTAGTTTCTGGTGCAAAATTAATTACTAAATGATGGAGGAAAATAAATTGGTCCAGCAAAATGTGAGGTGGACTTTGAATTGGATTTTGATATGCATGTGTATCATCAGCTGTTGATAGATGTGCAGTGTTTGGGGAGAAATTTTTGTTCTCTTAGAGTACATTTTAAAAAGAGACTCCAAACTGGTGCTCACTACAGCAGTGCCTCAGATTTCAGCAGCAAATTTCCATACTTACTGGTTTTTCATGTAAGAAATTATGCATATACTTTCAGTATGCAGGTTCTTCCCACTGTGAACTTGTGAAAATAGCTGGAGAAATCAAGTTTCATTGGTGGTCAGATGCTTAAATAAATACCAGTTAGTTTTTGGGCAAGTGTTTCACATGAGGTGATGTTTCTCCAGAAAAGCAGGTAAGTGGCTAATGAATGCAAGTAGGCAGATTTACTTTGTAATTTATGGAATCATATGGTAGCTCAGCTGTAAAGTTTGTCTTTTGAAGTTTGCATAATGGTTTGTGCATCTACTCTTTTGCTTTCTTTCAGCTTATATTGTAAATGTGACCAGTAGGCTTCAAAACCTTTGAAACTGCTCCTGGCTTTGCTTGCCGCTTAAGATCACAGTAACTTTTGACCCTCTTAAATGAACTCTGTTTCCATTATGGAAAAAAATGCAGCTGCCTGTTATGATAAGGCTCAAATGTCATTTGAGCAAGTTCTTTTAAACTGAGAGCTGTGTTCTGTAGTAGCATA